AGGATGTATTTCAATACTGTATTAAATTAATATGAATAGTAATAGTTAGAAGAATCATTATTGAGAATAGTGAGAATTACAAACAAACTAAATAAAAATATCTGGACAATGAAAATTCATAAAAATCTGCTTAATTGTCATTAAAAACCATTAAAAATACAAAAAGAAATGATTTATATATTAGCTTTTTTTCTCATTAATATACAAATATTCTAAATATATTTTTTAACAATTAAAATGGCAAAACTATTAATGTTCCTATTCCTAAACAGACTTAAATTTCTTTCTATAAATATTTATTTATTTTAGTTAAAGGTAGGGTATGGCAATTGCAGAGAGGATAGAAATAGTAAGTTAACTTTGAAAGCATAAGATCCCACCCTCCCTTTAGAGCGTCTCCAAACCCACGCCTCCTTCAAAACACATGAATGCATACAGCAGGGAGAAAACAAAAGCGTCACGAGAGACGGCGTTATATTAATTCGTCTCAAAACACAACATTACAATAATAATGAACAAATTACAGAGCTCGCCTCTTACTTGTACCACTGACTGCTGCAGATTAATTTCGGTGTTGATAGTGTTGACATTGAAACGCATAAATCTTGAACAGCTCTGAATAAAACATCACGGGTTGCCATCTTGTAATTACAGTTACAATGGCGTGAACGCAGCATAAGTTTGTTGTTTTGATTCAGGAGGAACTGCAAAAGGAGGCGCTCGTTGACTGTCTGTGTGAGCAGGGTGCGCGGAGGTAGAAATATATATGTTGACCGGCAGGTAGGACATCCTATCAATACGCTATATATAGCTCATTCAGACCGAATGCAAATGGATGAACATTTTTTGGTCCGGAGACTTCCACAGGAGATACAACACGTTTTAATATTTAGACTAGAATATTAGAATATATTTGGTAACACTTTATTTTACAGTGTCCTTGTTATATTACATGTACTTAGCATAGTAATAACAGTAAATTACGCATAATTACATGCAACTAACCCTCAACCAAACCCTAATCCTACCCTAACCCTATTAGTACATGTAGTTACTTAATATTACAGTATTTAAACACATAATTATACTGTAACAATTACACCTTAAAATAAAGTGTAACCGAATATTTCATATAAGTGATTGCTACAGTATCGGGATGTGAAAAGAGTTTCAATGTATAACAAAAAGTATTTTCTAAAACTCAATAAAGTTGCCTATGGTTAAATATCAACCTGGACATGTTTTTGTGAGATTTCCCGCAATACTATTATAATTGCTTGCATAAATAAGTGCAATATATAATTGCGCTTCTGCATGACTGCCTGTGGTTTGGTAATTGCCTTGAACCTCTTTAGGAGTTAAAAACGGGAATGAACTGCTCTTATACCCCTGTAGTGCCAAAGTGTGGATAATGCCATGCCTGACTCTAAAACTAAACCGTTGCCTCCTTTGATCAGTCTTCTATCTGAGTTATTAGTATTATTGATGGAATACGTTCATGTAAACTCACTCAGTTTGAACCTCTATCACAGAATTCGTCTCTTTGTTGGCAGGTGGCTGAGGGCAGAATGGATGTTTTTTGTGAGGGACCCATCCGAGCCAGAGTCTTCTGTGATTAAAGCTAAATAGAAATTAAAGGGCACACGCTGACAGCATTGAAGCTGATATGTGGGGTTTTAAAGAAGCAACTGTACAGAGAGTTTGGTTGATTTTTGTGCTTGCTGTCATCTGTTGCATAAGCCGGTGTACAAATGGGTCTTGACAGCACTGTTTTTAGGAAAGGACAACTGGGAGCATTGTCTTGTGCCCTGTGACAAGGAGACATGGACCGAATATTCAAGGATGGAGGGAACCAAAGGTAAAGTTTTAGTCAATGAATAACCCGTAATTATTGTTCAAACCAGTAATCAGTATCTGTCATTATTAGCAGAACACATTTTACACATGGGGAAAACCAATGGTTTAGTCAATAATAGAAGAGGGTCTTACTTTGAAGCTTGTGATTCTATCTAGTATTTGTTATTGTTTAACTATAGCATGTATTACAATAAGGATATAATTAAAGGTAAGATCATTCCCATGCTTGGGCCAGTTAACTTTTTTTCTTTATTTTTTTATCTGTAGCTTTTGGAATGATAAATAACGATCTACACATTTAGAAACTATAGCAACAACATACCACAGTTGTAATATAAATCTTTAGTGAAAAATATATTCCCTTAGAGATTAACTGTAAAAAAAAAAAAAAAGTTGCTGCCTTAAAGGGGTCTTATTATTCCCTTTTACAAGTCCTGATTTTGTTTTTGGGGTGTACTAGAATGTTTTCATGCTAGATTGCTCAGAAAATGCATTATTTTGCACATATTTTAAATTATTTCAGCACCTCTCTCCCCAGTCTGACTCGAACACGCTGATTTCGATGAAGCCCCTCCTTCCAAAATACGAAATGTGCTGTGATTGGTTAGCTGGACCAGTGTGTTGTGATTGGCAGCACTTAGAGCGTGTTTGGGAAATGTCCAGCCCTTCCATATTCTGCGACTTCTTCTCTAGTATAAATATTGAGGATGGCGTCAATTTCAAACCAATTCGAGCCCGATTCAGACCCTGACAATGTTAACAAACAAGTGGATCGTGCAGAAAGGATTTCATGCACAGACTTTCTGATTTCACAGGACGTTTCAGAGTGGAATGTTTTTTGTAATTTTGTCTTACAAAAGCGAGAGCTTACAAAAGCAACAAAAAACAAGCTGTTCACCATAAAATGTGCAGCCCACAGATAAACATTGGGGTAATAATGTTCAGGAACAGTGTTTAAAATAAGTTTTAACCACTCTAAGTTTGTCAGCCTTAGGAAGGTCAAACAAATGAGTTTTGGAAATGTTGTGGGAAAAACAGTGTCTCTTTGACATAAATCGTTCGTACCATAAACCCTCATTCACTATTTTCTACGTAGTCCACTAATATAGGCTACTGTTCACTTGAAGGAGTGAGCGAATTCGGACAGCCGTTGAGTGTATACGTCGGCTGTCGTTATTGCAGTGCAATGTGGGATTAGATAAGTGCACTCATAACGTCCACTAATGGTTTCGGACACCACTACAACTGGCTGTCCCTTCAAATAACGCCCTATTTGAGGGTATAGGGGGCGATTTCGGATTCAGACACTTTCTTCCCTAATGCAGCTCAACCAGGCCTCATCCCCTTTTTTGCGTAGGCTATTCTGTGGGCGGAGATTATTTAAATGAGGAACATTGTGACTTCATAAAAAAAGTGGGGGGAAACTAACGAGTCTTTCGTTGTAGTTGTTGAAAAGTGGATTCTGTTAAATAAAATATCTCCTTTTGGAGTGGACTTTGAGCTTTGTTACCTTGCAGATCTTTTTTATGCTCAAACACCAACATTACACACTAACTCAAGTTGAAACAGTGGAAAAGCATAATTAGACCCCTTTAATTTAAAGCTGCAGTCCACAGTTTTTCCTCTTTGTCGCCATCTCTGTTCGAAATCTGCAATTGCAGTTATTTGCGGAATTATAAACTTTACGCGAGTTGTACCTCGGCATGGCACAGCGCGGATGAATCCAATGTTTTGAGAAGAGTGTGCAGCTATCAGTCACCGCGCCGGTGTGGATACTGGAATTCAGAATCACAGATTATTCTTTTTGGAAGTATGACCAACATAAGAATTTTCACCCTAAATTGTCATCTGAACAAGTAACATCCACTTTTGTTCTGACCAACTAAGGGAAAAAAAGCATTGCAATAAATCACGCTGATTAAATCTAACGATCGCTTATCATATCACGTCAAACCGTGCAAATTATACTTTGTTCTCAAATTGTTAATGTTAACAACATAAGCATCGCGTGACTACATTTAAAGCCCTTCCGATATTTATCATTGTTTTCGCATGGGCCCGATTGCAGTCTCTTTTTCCAAACTCTCAGTCCAAAGTCTTTTGCATTTTACAACGGGTGAGTCTCCAGTTGTCACTGCGATTGTCATTTGAACCTTTCTGGATCCGCCATCAAATTAATAAGTTAAATTATATCAAGTGCTGTAAGAAAAGGCTATAAATCTCCACCTCAAACATCCTCACACGCAACATAGCCTACTAGCCGAGACTCCTTCTTTATGTGTACAGATGTGACGTATTGACGCAAAGACAAGCTCGAATCTCCCGCGGAAATCCACCAGTACCACTGGAATTAAAAACATTACAAGCTTACTGCTTTGAATCGAGCTAAGGCAAGCAGATAGTTTTGAACACTGGCTGGTTATGTACTTGCTCAAAAATCTATTTTGGATAAATTTTAACCCAAAAATGTTACGGACTGGAGCTTTAAGTATAATCAACTTGGATGTTTAAGTCATTTCAACTTAAATGACATTAAACTGACTTAAAATTAGTTGAATCTTGTATAACATTTTTACAATTTCTTCACTTATTTTGATGAGTTAAGCATGAGCAATGTAAAAATAACTTAATTTTTTAGGATAAATTCTACAAGTTAGTCAGAATTTACCACAATAAATAGGCTACAATAGAATGTGATAGTAAAGGTGGTCATGATTAGTTTGTTATTGGAGGATGATGTTTTCTCTTCTTTTTATAATTCTTTTTAGTTTATTGTGTGGCCGTTTTAGATCATGTGTGACTTTCTCCATACGCGTTTTAAAGTGGGATTCTCAATAGAATTCAAATGGGTCGCCCATTTTGTCATCAGCGTCGCAATAGGAACGGCTTGCCTTGCTCAAATCTTATCACACTTTTGGAGCGCGCTGGTGAACGCGCCTACGGTGATTCGCGCGCGCCACTCATGCAAAAATAGACAATTGGGTTCAGTCTTATTGCGCAGATAATTGGTCCGTTCTGTTCGTACGGGAACTTGCGCACGACGTATATAATCAGTCAATTATAGTAATACGGGAGGTATTATAGTATAGGTATACTACTATATATAGTAGGTAGGTAGTATTGGGGCTATAGTATAAAGCTTAATTAGATTTGACAATGTTTTGTTTTTCCTCTGCAGTGGAGTTGTTGGGCACGCGCTCGGCGTTGGAGTTGGAGATCCCCAGCTTCTGCCTGTGCGCTTCTGTGCAGCTGCGCATGCGCGGGGAGCTCCCCGTGCCCACAGACTTGTCGCTTTGAGCCCAGAGCGCGCGCGGGTGGCACACAGAAGCTCCCGGCCAGCCAGCGCGCGACGTTACCATGAGCCTCCCCACTCCGCCGGCAGAGACTCCACGCGCAGAGAGTGTCCACCTGACGATAGCAGCGCGAGAGCCACAGACGCACGATGCCCGGGGGAAAGAGAGGGCTGGTGGCACCGCAAAACACTTTCCTGGAGAATATCGTCAGACGCTCGAGTGGTGAGGGGCACGCTTGTGGTTTCTGGAATGCATTAGGTCACTTATCGTTACAGTGCCCATGTTACTCTGCATTTACATAATCAGTTAATCGTACTAAAACAGGTAGCTTAATTAATTTAAAGCTGCTTTTTTGCAGTTATTCGTAATTAGCTATTTATATTACATTTAAGATGTGAATCATCATGGACGCTGTAATGCTAATGTAATGTTTAATGCTTTAACTTCGTATTTTTTTTTCTCTTTTAGTGGTTTTTCTGAGCTGGGTAGGGTAGGGCCTACATTGTGATTTTTTTTTTAAATGCATAATTTACACAATGACAGGCTATTTGTTTTTGAGTTATAGAGGCATTATTTACAAACAGCATTTATTTCTGTTTATTATATATATATATATACACATTTATTTATTCAAATGTATATTGTGTGTGTATATATATCTATATATATATACATTTATTTATTCAAATGTATTTCTTATTTTGAGTTAGGTAATTTTTCGTCCTTTCATATAAAAAAAGGAGAGCACAGTATTGTCAACATCTTTAGATAAATTAACTACTAGACAATATAACGTTAAGCAGCCGCAATTGACATTGTGTAGTACTAGTACCAATACTTAATTTATTATAATTACGCATTTCTCGTTCAGTTGTTTTATTTCTCCTTCAGTTGATTAAAATAAACTCAATATACAGTTGCAGTCCACGTCTCTGCGCCTCAGCTCTTCAGGACTCCCATGAAGTCGGCCTGATTGTTTTGAGAGAACTGTTGCGTTTATGACCACTAGAGGGGGCAACATCTCTAGTTCCTGTCACAGTAATGCTGTTGTGTCTGGTTTGCCGTCTCCATTACAAACAAATCGAATCTGAGAATGATAGTGTATAAGACATGATAGTTTAAGTGAGAAAAAAAAAAATCTAAAACGAGTTTTTAAAACATCCCATTCACATTATGAGGTCAAAAAGGCTGCATTTTGTAGTTGTTTTGTTTTATGATGTTTTGAAAGTCTACATTTTCTAGAGATTACACCAGATGTTACAGTAGGATAAGTGACAGTAATAAACTGTGTGTGTCAGGTCACTAATTCCTGCTCTCTCTTTTATACTTTATCATCTTCTCTGAACATTCAGAGACAAGTTTCTTGCTGGGGAACGCTCAGATTGTGGACTGGCCTGTAGTTTACAGTAATGACGGCTTCTGCAAGCTGTCTGGATACCACAGAGCAGAGGTCATGCAGAAAAGCAGCACATGCAGGTGAGAGGATGTACACGTGACCATAGAAATCTGTAGATGTTACACAGTTCATGCTGAATTGAAGATATCTGGTGTTGCAGTACATTTAAAGGGCCTTTATAACAATTTAAGACTGAAGCTTTAAAATATTTGTTGTGCATCCATGTGCCCATTGTAACAAAACCAAGAAATAATAATGTCATAATCTTAGGGTTGTGCATTACATTGCCTCTGCCTAAAATGTAGTATTATACAGTAAATGATATATATATATAAATCAACGTGTTAGGAATTTGGAATTTAAGTAGATGAAAGTATCTTTTTGGCCCAGCCATGATCTGGCATTGTAGTGGCGTACTGTGAAAAAAAAAAAAAAAAACTAATTTCAGTAAGTGGCTTGAGACACAGATATACTGCAGTGCCTTCTGCTTAGTGCATATTTTTCTGCTATGCTCACAAGACAATCTTTTTATTTTATTTTTTATTAATAAGCTTTTATCTGTGACTGCAAGAGAAACAAACAGGTTAAGATGCCATAATTGGCCCCACTTTGCTTGAAGGGTGAGGTGCACATACATTTCAGAAAATCTCTGTAATCTCTTAATCTTTGTTAGAACATATGACCATGAGCCACTCATGTGGAAAAATCTGAATCCTGAACATCATCTGAGCATTTTACTTCCATGAATCTTTAGACTGGGATTTATGTAGATTCTAATGAATTCAGGGAGGGATAATTACTTAAAAACCATGCTCTGTGTGAATAATCTCTCTCTGTAGTTTTATGTATGGAGAGCTGACAGACAAGAAGACCATAGAAAAGGTGAAACAGGCCTTTGATAACTATGAGTCCAACTGCGTTGAAGTGCTGCTGTACAGAAAGAACAGTAAGTGCGACTTCAAACAAACATATACAGATACTAACATCTTTAAAGTTTCTTATAATGTCTAGTAGAGGTGTTGTAAACAGTAAAAAATCATGTTGACTAAAAGAGCTACTAGATATTACACAGCATGGAATATCTGAACAAACAGTATTAAACACTTCCATGTACACTACTGGTCAAGTTTGGAATAATTATATTATTTTTATTTTTTATTTTTTTGTCTTTAGTCTCTTGTGCAAGGCTGCATTTATTGTATCAAAATACAGTAAAAATATTAATACTGTAAGATATTATTACAATTTAAAATAACTGAAATAACTATTGTAATATATTTTAAAATGTAATTTATTTTCAGAAATCATCTAATCTGCTGATTTGGTTCTCAACAATTAGTAACTGTTTTTGCTGCTTAAAATCTTGTTGTGGGAACTGTGATAATTTTTCAGGATTCTTTGATGCATACAATCATTGATTTAGAATAGAAATCTTTTGTAATAGAAATCTTTCTGTCACTTTTGATACATTTAATGCGTTCTTGTTGAGTAAAAGTATTAATTTCTTTTTTATACTAAATACCCTAAAATTTTGAATGGTTGTGTATGTTTCCACACAAATCAAAACTGTTTTCAATATTAATAATAATAAGAACTGTTTCTTGAGCACTAAAATATCATATTAGAATGATTTCTGAAAGAAACTGGAGTAATGGAGTAATGAAAATACAACTTTGCCATTTTTCCTAAGAAAAAAAAACATTGGGGGAAAAATAATCCAGTGGAATCCTAGCCAAATTTAGCAAAAAAAAATTTACATTTTTTTTTATTATTTTTTATTTATTTATTATTAAACACACTTATTTACAAAACACAATTTACAAAAACTCTCGTTGGGAGACTCGTGTGCAGAACATAGTTAAACACAGTTAAATAGAACAAAATTTGGTATAACATGGATATCATGTGCTTATGAAATTATTGTCATCTATTAAAACACAATATATACTATGGTAAATATACATACTTCTTTACTTAATAAATACAGGAGCATGTTTTCATCAACATTGGTTTGAAGACTTAATATGAAAAGGCTCTGAATTAAAGATTTAATGATTTGTCAGAAGTCATGTGATGATGCTGACTTTGACCTCTGACCTTGTACAGGAACTCCGGTGTGGTTCTACATGCAGATTGCACCAATCCGAAATGAAAATGACAAAGTGGTTCTGTTCCTGTGTACATTTAAGGACATCACCGTCTTTAAACAGCCTATTGAAGACGAAAGCACCAGAGGTGAGTTTGATATATACACACATGTACTGTACAATAATATACTTGTAACGTCAGTGATGCATTCAAAATATATACTTGTCTGAAAGACGCAGACGTGCATGCTACACTCGAGTTTGTTCTGACAGATTAACACTTCCTCTAATGTGCTTATGTCATATAAATAAATATTTCTTTATGATTGGCAAGCATTGCTAGTTTTTTCCTTTGGCACTCAATCTCAAGTGTTATTTTCAAGCACGTGTGTGTGCGTGTGTGTGTGTGTGTCTGCCTGCCGGGGGCTTGTTTCTTAAGCTGAAATATGTTATATAGAGTCTGTTTCCAAAACTTCCAATAGTGTCTGTGGATGAATTTCAAAAAACCTGTACAGCTCAATTTTCAACAAATTATATTTTACCTGTAGAAAATAGTGAAGCCTGTATTTTTTTATGACAATTATTCTTTACAATAAGACAATTATTGTTACAGTATTGAGAATCACTTTTGAGGATAAAGGGTAATTGTTACAGTAATGAGAATTACTGCTTAACATGAAAATAATGGTCCTTAGTTTTCTTTATACTAAATTATTTTAGGGTGAAGTGTGACTTGAGCATGTTTGCATCAGATTCAACATTGTGTGTGAGATGAATGTTAATCATGCAAGAATCAAAGAGAAAGAGAGAGAGAGATTTGAAACAGCTCCAGACAGTGTTTCAGCAGTTATATTTCATTGCAGGATCATAACAGGAGCGAGAGCAAACACTTCTTCCACTTTTACTCAACATAAAAAACTTTGCTGAGTCATATCTGAGCCACAGAGGACTTATGTTTTGGATGTGTTCATGATATATATCATTCATATAAAGTCATCAAAGAATCCTGAAAAAAAGTATCACGGTTTGGACTAAAATAATAAGCAGCACAACTGTTTTCAACTTAATAATAATTATACATGTTTTTTTTTAGTATCAAATCAGCATATTATAATAATTTCTGAAGGATCATGTGACACTTAAGACTGGAGTAATGATGCTGAATTTTCAGCTTTTCACATGAATAAATTACATTGTAAAACACATTAAAGTAGAAACATGACAATATTACTGTATTAATGCAGCCTTGGTGTCTATAAGAGACTTCTTTCAAAAACATAAAAACTGACCCTTACTATATATATATATATATACACTCACCGGCCACTTTATTAGGTACACCTGTCCAACTGCTCGTTAACACTTAATTTCTAAGCAGCCAATCACATGGCGGCAACTCAGTGCATTTAGGCATGTAGACATGGTCAAGACAATCTCCTGCAGTTCAAACCGAGCATCAGTATGGGGAAGAAAGTTGATTTGAGTGACTTTGAACGTGGCATGATTGTTGGTGCCAGAAGGGCTGGTCTGAGTATTTCAGAAACTGCTAATCTACTGGGATTTTCACGCACAACCATCTCTAGGGTTTACAGAGAATGGTCTGAAAAAGAAAAAACATCCAGTGAGCGGCAGTTCTGTGGGCGGAAATGCCTTGTTGATGCCAGAGGTCAGAGGAGAATGGCCAGACTGGTTCGAGCTGATAGAAGGGCAACAGTGACTGAAATAACCACTCGTTACAACCGAGGTATGCAGCAAAGCATTTGTGAAGCCACAACACGCACAACCTTGAGGCGGATGGGCTACAACAGCAGAAGACTCCACCGGGTACCACTCATCTCCACTACAAATAGGAAAAAGAGGCTACAATTTGCAAGAGCTCACCAAAATTGAACAGTTGAAGACTGGAAAAATGTTGCCTGGTCTGATGAGTCTCGATTTCTGTTGAGACATTCAGATGTTAGAGTCAGAATTTGGCGTAAACAGAATGAGAACATGGAACCATCATGCCTTGTTACCACTGTGCAGGCTGGTGGTGGTGGTGTAATGGTGTGGGGGATGTTTTCCTGGCACACTTTAGGCCCCTTAGTGCCAATTGGGCATCGTTTAAATGCCACGGCCTACCTGAGCATTGTTTCTGACCATGTCCATCCCTTTATGGCCACCATGTACCCATCCTCTGATGGCTACTTCCACCATGTCACAAAGCTCTATTCATTTCAAATTGGTTTCTTGAACATGACAATGAGTTCACTGTACTAAAATGGCCTCCACAGTCACCAGATCTCAACCCAATAGAGCATCTTTGGGATGTGGTGGAACGGGAGATTCGCATCATGGATGTGCAGCCGACAAATCTGCGGCAACTGTGTGATGCCATCATGTCAATATGGACCAAACTCCCTGAGGAATGCTTCCAGCACCTTGTTGAATCTATGCCACGAAGAATTGAGGCAGTTCTGAAGGCAAAAGGGGGTCCAACCCGTTACTAGCATGGGGTACCTAATAAAGTGGCCGGTGAGTGTATATATATATATATATATAATTCTCCACTTTTTGGTGATTAATCAAATCAACAAACTTGTGAGATTAAACTTGTGAACCTTTTTGTACAAAATGTCAGATGCTTGCTCACGATGAAGCACAACATGCTCTTTGAATTTTTTTTTAATTCAGTTCAGTTATGCAGAACCTTTATGAAAGCAAAATATTGAATTGAGTTTCATTTGTGCAGATTATTTTAGAAGAGCACTGCACAACTGAACTGAAAGACACATTCGGGGGCCTATTTTAACGATCTAAGCGTTTTGTCTAAAGCGCACGGCGCAAGTGCACTTAGGGTGTGTCCGAATCCACCTTTGCTAGTTAAATGATGAGAAAAATGGTCGACGCGCCTGGCAGCATGGTCTAAAAGGGTTGTCCCTATTCTTGTAATAAGTAATGGGTGTGTTTTGGCCGTAAGATCAGATTCCCATCCCATTCATTCCCTTTAAAAGCCAGTTGCGCTCACGCCATGGCGGATTCGCTATTTACATGGCGGAATTTCTAAGCGGAAAAACTGAATGCTTCTCTAGCGAGGAAAGCGAAAACAGATCTGCTCGTGCGCGAGGTTAAAGCACACCAAATCACCTATTGGCGCTAATGCGCCCTTTAAATAACAAAAAAATACTGCGCCATTGACTTTAGATCAGGTTTCAGTTGGTCAATAGCAAAGTCTATTTCAGTTGCCTCAAATTAGCAACACGCCAACAATGCGCCTGAACACACCTCGTTTTCAGACCAAGCACAAATGGACGCAAATGCATTTGCTATTTAAACAACGTGGTGCAGGTCTTGAAAATGATAACTGCGTTGGGCTAAAACTAGCAAAAAACACTTGCGTCGAGCCTGGCGCCGCATTGTGCCATGTGTATGATAGGGCCCTTAGTGTGTGTTACTGTATGAACACAATGCATGTCTTTTCAGTTCAGTTGTGTAATGCTTTTCATTAAATGTCTTGTAGGTTGGACCAAGTTTGCACGTTTGACTCGAGCGTTGACAAACAGCAAATGCACCATTCAGCAACTCACACCCGTGAACAGAACCGACGTCACTTCGCACAAACAGTCCAGACTCGCAGAGGTGAGCACACACACACACACACACACACACACAGACACACACACACACACACACACACACACACACACACACACACACACACACACACACACACACACACACACACACACACACACACACACACACACACACACACACACACACACACACACACACACACACAGAGGCAGCATTTGCTTACATCCTTGACTGCACAATACAAGGTTATACAAAACTTCATCTCACGGAGGACAAACTTGTAATAGAATCACACACACACAGGATGCTGCTGTAACGCAATCTCACACGTGTCTGTTGGACAGCAGAAGTCAACAGTTGACTGCCAGAAGCTGCTATTAATAATTAACACTGATGAGGAGTGTGTGTGTGTGTGTGTGTGTGTGTGTGTCATAACCCCGGTTCGCTTTTCTTAAGTTTACGATTTACTGCTCTGTCACTGTTGTATGATGGTGTTAAAGAGGATGGAAATGTGTTAATTTTTTCAGTGTCAGGAAGGAACAATCTTACTAGATATTTTTTGATGAGGGGGAACATTAAAAGATGGGATAGTTTTGCAAGGGTGGATGCTTTTATCATGGTTTAATGTCTCTGATCCTTGCTGAATGTGTGTTGTTGCAGTGTTCGCAAGGCAGCATTACACTGGTTGAGGTTTGTTCTTATTCATTAACTCTCAAGTATTAAACTTCTGCAATTCATTCAGCCTGAATCTCTTAAAGGGATATTCTGGGTTCAGTATAAGTAAAACTCAATCAACAGTATTTTGACAATGTTGATTAACACAAAAATTTATTTAGACATTTTCTCTCTTTTTCTTAAACAAAATATAGGTTACAGTGAGGCACTATAATGGAAGTGAATGGGGCCAATCTGTAAATGTTAAAATACAGTTTCAAAAGTAAAATTACATGTTAATTTGATTTTAGTGCTAACTAACTTTTATCAAATTAAAATGCCTAAAACCTTAAACAACTGTACAAAAATATGAATACACATTTACAGCTCAAATAATACATAAGTTTTAGCAGAACAATTCTTGTAAATGCTATTTAAAAATTATGTGCTGCATATTTCTGCTTTTAAATCCCAAAAATCGACCCCTTTCTCGTCCCTTTTGCAGTAAGTGCCTCAATGTGACCTTGATATTTGCACACTTTTAAAAAATGTTAAATAAGGGACTAGTCAGTTTTGCCACAAATGTGCCATAAATGCTGTTGATTGAACCTTATTGTATTTAACCTTTGATTTGCATTGAATTCTATATTTATTTATATTTATATAAACATTATACTTTGTAAACATATTTTTTCTTGCTTAAACTTAAGTTTAAAAGTCTCCTCGTGACTTACACTGACAGAATTCTTAGCATTCAAAATGTGCCACCATTTTTGCATTCGAATTCTGATTGGTCTTCTTTTCTTGCATATTTTTACAATCAACTATTTAAAAATAGCGCCGATTAATATATGATCTGAAACAATCTTTCTCCCTCCGTCATCTTCTATTCTTTATTGTCTCTTTGAGGGGAACTTCTGTTAAATCTCTGAGTAAACTTCATGTTCTGTTAATACAAAGATGCATAATATACAGAAAACAGTGTATTGTCCAGGGAAGAGCAGAAATTAGTCAGAGCTAGAATTAATATTGAAACAAACACTTTCCTGAGGGCCCTCTTTATTTCATTTCATTGTCACTCTCTCTAATGTCCCTAAAGATAATCTGCTTATTGGGGATGTCAAAAATACAGTGTAAAAATGATTTTTCAAGGTTGTAAATAAACAGTATTTTCTTGTAGAACTACAATGATCATTATTTTAGTATTTCTACTTATAAACATTCACATTTAATTCAATGTGTTACTTGCAATGCTACGTTTCATTGTAATTACTTGTGAACTTTACTAGCAATTTCTGAGTGAATTCTTTGTTTCCAAATTGTTTCAAATCCTACACCAATTTTCTTTCAGGGCTGAAAGGAATTATTCAAAAATATGTATAAATTATATTAAATTATTGTAAAGCTATATATATATAAATAACTTGATCATACATTTTCCAACAATTAAATTCAAAACAAATAATGTCAAAAAATGCGAAATGCCACTGGCTTCGGTATTTAACTTATGCAATTTTGCCATTTTTCTTTTCCTCTTTGTCTCAGATCCTTCAATCCCTTTAATCTTTTTTTGTCTCATTCATCTTTCTCAGGTGCTTCAACTGGGTTCTGACATCCTTCCGCAGTATAAACAGGAAGCCCCTAAGACCCCGCCTCACATCATCTTACACTACTGCACCTTTAAGACCACCTGGGACTGGGTCATCCTCATCTTGACCTTCTACACTGCCATCATGGTTCCTTATAACGTCTCCTTCAAGACCAAACAGAATAACGTCACCTGGCTGGTTCTGGACAGCGTTGTGGACGTCATCTTCCTCGTGGACATCGTGCTCAACTTCCATACCACGTTTGTCGGGCCTGGAGGGGAGGTGATCTCGGATCCGAAGCTGATCAGGATGAATTACCTGAAGACCTGGTTCGTCATAGACCTGCTGTCCTGTCTGCCCTATGACATCATCAATGCTTTTGAAAACGTGGATGAGGTGAGAAACCGTATAACCGTCGCTTTGCTCCTGGTTAGGACTTGTATATGTTTGAAACTTTTTTGTTATAAGATAAGCTGTAGTTGGCTTTTTCAAATAAAACTCAGCAGTGCTTCAAACACTTGTTTTTTTTTAACCTGCCAACTCCTCAAAGATATAAGAACGAACAATTATTTCCTATGTCAGGGCTTCTCACAGGTACTCTTCTGAGAATAGTGCTTTAGGGTTCTTGTTCAAATTCATTTCAACTTTTGAAGAGCTTGATAGTTTTGGGACAGAAAAACAAAAAAGCTGAACTGGCAGCAAACATTTTTTTTGCCAGAAAGAAAACCTCAGGTAGTGGCACATAGACATACTTTTTATTGACGGCATAAAGCAGCTTATTTTGGCCAAACACTATCATTCGCGTGGATTTAAGGTATATGTGTTAATAAGCAATTTTACATTGTGACGTGACGTGTAGCCAGGTATGGTGTCCCATACTCTGAATTTGTGCTCTGCATTTCACCCATCCAAGTGCACACACGCAGCAGTGAGTGAGTTTTAAACACACACACCATGAACACACACCCGGAGCAGTGGGCAGCCATTTTTGCTGCGGCGCCCGGGGAGTGATTGGGGGTTAGCTGCCTTGCTCGCTCTTCATTCACTGAGACTCGAACCCATGACCTTCGGGTTACAAGCGACTCTCTAACCATTAGGCCACAACTGCCTCATAAGGGTAACACTTTAGAATAATGGTCCGTCATTAGGTTAACTAACAGGTTAACTAACTATGCAGGAAGTAATGCAGGACAAATGAGTATTACTACATTATACTTCAGCTACTAATAATAACTAAAATGGGAACAAGCTTAACTAATCATTAAGCAATATCAAATGTAGGACTTAGATAGGTAATCAATAATTACTGAATGAGATTAGCCTCATTTAGAACTATTAACTATTTTAGAACTATTATGAGAAATTATAAAGAATTACCAATTAATTACTAATCACAACAATCGCAACTAATTACTATTCACAACTAATTACCACTAATTACTAATGTGTCTGAGAGAATTGAGCGATTGTCTTTTTTACTAATTTGACATGCATTACTTCATGCATAGTTACCTATTAATGATGGACCATTATTCTAAAGTGTTACTAAATTAAGTTCTGACAAATTAGTTTTTCCACAGAAGCTCTCATTTGATCAACTCTGTACCCGAAAACCCTACTTCAGTTCCACAATTTTGAGAGCATTATGCCCAATGATGGAACTTTGTGCAGTCTCTGGGTGTGCCTACCTTCTGAGACAGTATTTACTAATACACAGTCTGTACATACTAATATATTAGAGGTGTAACAATATATCGCAATACACAAATGCAACAATATATATCGTGGATAGTGACAATATGTATTGTGTATAGTTCATCCGAAACGAAAATTTTTGTGTGAGAAAAAATTCAAGTTTACAGAGTTTTAGTGTCAGTAGTACTACATTAAAGTGCCCCAATTATGCTATTATGCCCATATAATGTTGTTTTGGAGTCTCCTACAACAGGTTTACATGCATCAAAGGTCAAAAAACTGTTTTTGCACATCACCACATTTTTAATGATTCTCAAACGACTCGTCAGATGAATCAATCTCTCTAAATCCCTCCTTTCCACAAGCTACTCTGCTCTGATTGGCCAGACAGCTTAGTCTGTTGTGATTGGTTTGCCGCGTACAGTGCGTCGAAAACAAAAACGCCCATTGCCATAACAACGTCAGCTCTGTTGTCCTGTGTAGGCTTCCTACACCGTAAACTAAAGACAGTAACAAACAATGACGTCGATTTTACCATATTGGAAGAACTATTCATTCAACCCGAACCTCCATCGCAATGACAACTCGAGCAGGACGTTTCTCAGTGAGAAATGTTTCTCAGTTTCTACACTAATCAGTTTGACGGTACATTATAAGATTGGCCTGCCTGCAGTCCATTATAAGAAGTTGCAACCCTAATTCCTCACCATCAGCATTAACAAGTGCATGTCCATCAACAAACCGATTATTCTACAACCCGAATTCCGGAAAAGTTGGGACGTTTTTTAAATTTGAATAAAATGAAAACTATAAGACTTTCGAATCACATGAGCCAATATTTTATTCACAATAGAACATAGATAACATAACAAATTTTTAAACGAAGAAATTTTACACTTTTATCCACTAAATGAGCCCATTTCAAATTTGATGCCTGCTACAGGTCTCAAAATAGTTGGGACGGGGGCAACAAATGGTTGAAAAAGCAAGAAATTTAGAAAGGATTCAGGTGGGAGAACATCTAGCAACTAATTAAGTTCATTTATATCAGGTCTGTAACATGATTAGCTATAAAAGGATGTCTTAGAGAGGTAGAGTCTCTCAGAAGTAAAGATGGGCAGAGGCTCTCCAATCTGTGGAAGAGTGCGTAAAAAGATTGTGGAACACTTTAAAAACAATGTTCCTCAACGTCAAATTGCAAAGGCTTTGCAAATCTCATCATCTACAGTGCACAACATCATCAAAAGATTCAGAGAAACTGGAGAAATCTCTGTGCGTAAGGGACAAGGACAAAGACCTTTATTGGATGCCCGTGGTCTTCGGGCCCTCAGACGACACTGCATCACTCATCGGCATGATTGTGTGAATGACATTACTAAATGGGCCCAGGAACACTTCCAGAAACCACTGTCGGTAAACACAATCCGCCGTGCCATCTCCAGATGCCAACTAAATCTCTATCATGCAAAAAGGAAGCCATATGTGAACATGGTCCAGAAGCGCCGTCGTGTCCTGTGGGCCAAGGCTCATTTAAAATGGACTATTTCAAAGTGGAAAAGTATTCTATGGTCCGACGAGTCCAAATTTGACATTCTTGTTGGAAATCACGGACGCCGTGTCCTCCGGGCAAAAGAAGAGGGAGACCTTCCATCGTGTTATCAGCGTTCAGTTCAAAAGCCAGCATCTCTGATGGTATGGGGGTGCATAAGTGCATACGGTATGGGCAGCTTGCATGTTTTGGAAGGCACTATGAATGCTGAAAGCTATATAAAGGTTTTAGAGCAACATATGCTCCCCTCCAGACGACGTCTATTTCAGGGAAGGCCTTGTGTATTTCAGCAGGACAATGCAAAACCACATACTGCAGCTATTACAACTGCATGGCTACATCGTAGAAGAGTCCGGGTGTTGAATTGGCCTGCCTGCAGTCCGGATCTTTCACCTATAGAGAACATTTGGCGCATCATTAAACGAAAAATGCGTCAAAGACGACCACGAACACTTCAGCAGCTGGAAACCTATATAAGGCAAGAATGGGACCAAATTCCAACACCAAAACTCCAGACACTCATAAACTCGATGCCCAGACGTCTTCAAACTGTTACACCATGGTAAACGTGCCCCCGTCCCAACTATTTTGAGACCTGTAGCAGGCATCAAATTTGAAATGAGCTCATTTATTGGATAAAAGTGTAAAATTTCTCAGTTTAAACATTTGTTATGTTATCTATGTTCTATTGTGAATAAAATTTTGGCTCATGTGATTTGAAAGTCTTATAGTTTTCATTTTATTCAAATTTAAAAAACGTCCCAACTTTTCCGGAATTTGGGTTGTACTTGTACCAATTTATTTACTGAATATTTTTCTAATATATCATTTTAGAACACATGGAACTGTATCAATAACAGTGCATTTATGCAATGTATACCTTAGTCGAGCTCTAGAGTGAATGACTGATGTAACAAAAAAACGTTGGTAAAACAAATCTTTCCTCAAAGTAGTGAGAACGACAGATAATCTGCATTAATAGACACAGTTTTAGGCCCACAGCTGATTAGCAGAAGTATTTCAGTAATAATGTGAGTTAACCAGTTAGCAGAAGACCTACACATTATAAAAATCAAAACTACGTTTTTTGAACACCATCTTTCAAGAGCAAGCGGTTTGCGAATCCTGCATTGAACTCTGAGATTTGATAAGCGGTCGTCAGTAAAATAAAGGCAACACAGGAAAAGTTTAGGATTATACTGCTGTGGTATCGTGGTAAACAGGGTGCGATTTGTGAAAAAAAACAGAGGGGGGGATGTTTTGAAAAAGTTTTATTCATAAAAATAAATCATGAGAACATGAACTTCATCACTGCATTTGCAGGAATTGTAAAATCTTTTTTCTTATCAACTCATGAAGTAGCCTAACGCAATATTTTTACTCTAATAGCTTATATGAACTGATCACGCACAACGAAAAAACACGCAAGAATTAAATCCCCCTCCCAGTACCATGGATAGTGCCACTCGGCTTGACATGTCAAAACACTTATTTATGAATGGCAAAATTAAATGGGACAACGTAGTGTCAACTTAAACATAAATACGCTATAGTGTAGGCCTTTGCATCATACTAGGAAAATAGTCTTTTTCTGCATTCCTGTGGGAAAATCCGCAGCTTTCCAGTGGGCGGTCAATTTCGGATTTTATTGTTCTATCGCACTGACATTTCACATTACAGCGCTTTACTTAGTTTAGGCTAGGATACTTCTATCAGTCTGCTGAACCATGGATTGATTGCAAAGTTAAACCATCACAGTAGAAACAGTTTGTACTGCTGTTAAAGTAACAACGTTAACGTTACATCGCGATGCTGAGCTACAGTGAAATGATAGAAAAGACAGATGCATTATCTGTGTCAATTCGCGTCTACCACACCGCGCTAAACGCCTCCGACATACAGCTCCACTGCCCAGTCTCGCAAGTGTTGATAGGCTATTACTTGTGAGGAGTAACCAATCAGATAGCGCCGTGGGCGGGACATTGAGCAAGTCTGCAGAGAGGTGATTACAGAGAGGCTGCGGCCGCTAAAACAGAGCCAGCCGAAGGAGCGCATTTTAAAATAAAATTGACTTTAATCAAACCACGGATCCGTGATAAGTTTTGTGATCCGTCTCGCCACTAGTGTAGTAGCACTGATCACTTTGAGGGGGGGATAAATTTATCCCCCCGGGGATAAAAAATAATTAAGCAGAGGCAGGGATACTTTGACCAGAAAGGGGGAAATCCCCCGCATCCCCCCCCGCAAATCGCACCCTGGTGGTAAAGATGAATTTTAACCACTGATTCTTCACATGCTCGTCCTTGGGCAGTGAAAAAAAAATGGCTTTCACATTGTAGATCACAGCTTCTTCTCGACATGATGCTATCCAGTATCCACAGGAATCAGCTGCCGGTTTGAGGTTGAAGTTTTCCCTGGTGTCTGCGCGCGCAAGAAGTGGGCGGGCAATATGCTAATGTTTCGTCTTGACGTCACAACGAAACGGCTTATGACTCGTTTGAAAAACAATTCATTTCATTGACTCAGAGTCGACTCTTACTTTTGAAAGACGACAACTTTATATACGGTGCACTTTCAGATTTAAAACTTTGCAGGATGTTTTCATTCACTTAGAGCTATGTTACACACTACATGAAACGTCATTTTCAAAAATCCATAATAGAGGCCCTTTAAACTACTATATGTAATAATAATGCAATGGGGGAATATTTGTGGGTCCTGATAATGCCAAATGTCTTGTTACCAGTAAAAACATTGTTTTAAATATATCTAGTCAGTGACAGAGTGTAAGCATATTCGTCTAAAATAATTCTGTATTTTCAGCTTCAGAATCATGAATATTTTAAATCTGGTGTTATTATTGTCCTGTGCATTGGGTTACCAGTCCAAGCCCAAATGTAATACCAAATTTAGCATTTTAATCAACAGCACAATTTTTGTTAACATTTTACCATATGTCTTGGAGTATCGCAATAATATCGTATGATTTCAGTATCGTGACATCTTGTCTATCTCAACAGTTAATAATATGTCATGAAATTCGTTCATAATAGATCACAGTACATTAACTAATGTTAACACATACAACTTTTAATTTCAAAAATATATTAGTAAATGTTGAAATTAACATTATCTAAGACTAATAAATGCTGTAGGTTTATTGTTCATTGTTAGTTCAAGTTAACTTATTAACTAATGTTAACAAATGAAACCTTATTGTAAAGTGTTACTGTATTTTCTTGTTTCATGCATAAATCTAACAATATTTAGTGAGGTTAATGCTTAAAACAAGACAAAAAAAGTAAAAAAATTCACCACCAGTCCTCATTTAACCATTTTTAAAAATAAAATAATGCATACTGGCATTGTCTTCCATCATGCACTATACATAAGTGTTAATGGCCCTTAAAAGTTGGCGTGTGCTCTTACCAGCCCTCACCCACTGTATACATTATGCAAGTTTAATGTACAAGTTTTGCCTAAGAGAGCCAGAAACCTTCTGAGGAAGCCTTTATATCATATATATTACTATATATACTGTGACAGCATGAGAGGTTCAGGATCTTTAGTGTGTGCAAGTTCCCGGTAAACACCACTTCAACAGTCTCTTCAGTATGTAGGTGTGTTTAATAATTAAACAAAAGGTTTACAACTTAAATCTCTTCAGCTCAAAAGTAACTTAATCTTCTTTGTTTCACAGAGGTATGTGTCCTTTCTCCAACCACACACACACTCATCAACAGTTTCTCACACCCACTATTAGAGCCTGCTGCTGGTCTCATTAGCTCCAGCTGTACTCTCAGGCAGCCTGGGTTTTGTAGTCCTTAACAGACGGCCATCTTGCTCCAGCCATCTGAGGGCAATGTATCTGCCCTCTAGAACACGCCCTCTCATGATGCCACAATACATAATATCACTATATTATATTATAGTATGGACCCCATAATCTACTGTTCCTGCAGAGTCCTCTGCACCGAGAAAGTACAGCGGTAGCAGCAGAATTGTCCTGCCCCAGTAGAATTAGTAGAAATACTTCTGGGCTAGTCCCAATTTAACTGGGGCAGGACATCTACTGTATATTATATATCAAGCACACAGAATTTTATTCTGTACACTGTCTTTGGAGTGTTTTATTTTTCTTCCTCAAGTCCACTTAATCAAGGTTTCTTGTGCCAAAAACATAATTAATATAATTAACATAATTTTCGTAATTAACCCCCTTATGCATCTAGTCCACTGCAGTGAATACATCTTTAAAAACATTTTTAACCATCAAGGCTGTGATAATCACCATGGGTGATTGATTATATTGACCCATTCCCATAATTCTGTATGACCTGTTTATTTGTCATGGCATTTTTCATTTATGTCAACAAATTCGATATGGCTTAGTGTAGTAGCTCAGCTGGAATATCATCTATTTTTCATCATCTAAGGGGTTTTCTCAGCGATGCCATAAAAGAACCATTTTTGTTTCCACAAATATATAAAAAAAACTTTTGTCCAGTGGAAAGGTTCCATGAATGTTAAAGGTTGTTCCATGAACACATCTCTGAAAATTATATGCAACTGTAAGGGATTTTAACAATGCAACTGTAAGGGATTTTAACAATGCAACTGTAAGGGATTTTAAACCCTCATTCAGATACACATTATACTCTTAAAATAAAGGTTCTTTATTGGAATCTTTGTTTTAAGAGTATATTGTGTATCTGAATGAGGGTTTAAAATTCTTTACAGTTGCATTGTGCATCTTGACTAGTTCAGGTCCACTCTTCACCATTTGCCTTGGTAACAGAACTCAGTTATGTGTCTGAATTGAACACAGCATTGTGTGTTGTCTCTGATAAATAGCTCTGATAAACACCTCAAAGAAAATACACAGTTATTCCAGGACAAGCTTTCAGTAAAATCCCATAGCGCAACATCTCCATGTTATCTTTCATGTGGATTTCTTATCACATGAAAGAGAATTTAAGATTTTGCTGTAAGCATTATGTAATGCTCTGTTATTCTCATGAGGTTTATTCTCAGGCAGGCCAGCATTAGAGAAATAAACATGAGCAGCACACATGACTTCAGGCTTCAGTATCTTCGTTATTCATATTCATGTATGTGAAATCTTAATTTTTTGTAATAACAAATGTTAAGAAAAAAAAGTTTTTCTTACTTTAATGAATCTAAATTTTTTTTTTTTACAGTTGACTTTTGAAATAGGATTGGGGTTTCATAACAGCTTTGTTGTAGGCTATAGCTTTACATATTTTGCTTTAGCTTTACAGTTTCGGTCTGAGTGTAGCAAGCTGCATTGTTGGTCATGTCTGCACACAGAGTTGCTTGAATCTTTTACTGCATGTCTGTAACTGAATTTGCACTTTAAAAGAAGGGATATGCTTCAGATGGTCACACCAGGCCAGGCTGGACTGAACTGCAATGTTTTTACGCAGGACTAAAGTGCTGCCTGACATCAAATTTTCAGAGGCCTTTTAATGTTGGACGATCATGTGTGAGAACAGAGCGTTCTCCTTGCAAAGTGATTCTGATGTCCAACCACGTTCGCACCTTTTTCTGTCGTCTTGGCTCAGCTCACCTGCTCCAAATTTAGAACAAACTGTTTGCAGAATTATATTTTGTGCAATTTGGACTGTAAAGAGTGTGTTCAATGAACTGAAAAATTTGAAAAGCACTCGTTGTTTCAGAATGTAGCGTCCAATTAACAATGCTGTGTGCCAAATAGTGTAAAATAACTCAGTGGTCTGTTTAAGAGGCTTTCTAATAAATGACAATAAAGGAATGATTTAACCAGATAGACTGAACGTCAAATAGATTTTCTGTTTGTGTGCTGCATGTCATTGGAGTGTAGATGATTGTTTAATTATGGGTTCATAAAGAGGAACTCTGTATATAAAAAGACATCAGCAGATTTATATATATATATACACACACAGGTACTGTGCAAAAGTCTTAGGCACGTTAGTATTTTCACACACAAAAAAATGGGTTTAAGCCAGTTTATATAATTTGCTGTAGTGTGTCAGTAGGAAATATATCCGTTTAAATTTCCTTTAGCCATTAATTATAATAATCCAGTGAGATTTTTGTATGCACAAGGAGTCTGACAACAGCTGGTATGCTCCACACGGAGATCTGATATTTCTGATAGGTTTCCTCAAGCGTCTTAGAGACGTTGCCGCAGTTCTTCTGGATTTAGTCTCTCTCTTCATGTTTCTTCATGTAATCCCAGATGGACTCGATGATGGTGAAATCAGATCTCTGTGTGGAGCAGACCGGCTGTTGTCAGACTCCTTGTGCATACAAAAATCACACTGGATAACAATTCATGTAAAACATTACTTTGTATCTTTTGTATATTTTTCAACCCAATATTAAAGCAGTTCTAGTTGTACAAATCTGAAGAGAAACATTTTCAATGTAGCATTTACATGACAAATATGCAGTAAAATGTACTGTACCAATACCAAAAATAGTTTATATATTATTATATTATAGTATGTTATGTTATGTTTAACAGTTTATTTTGAAAGTCCACTTTAGACATTCTACTAACAATAAGTAACTACAACTACAGGTCAATCAGTCATTAGAGTATTAGTAGACTGTCTGCTTAATACAGTGGTGCAGCTATAAGTAGGCTAATGACTATGAGAAACTTTGCAAGTACATGTCAACTTATTCTACTAACCCTAACCGTAACATAACAGTCTACTAATACTCTGAGAGTTAGTTGACATGGTTGCAAAGTTAGTAGAATGTCTAAAGTGGACTATCGAAATAAAGTGTAACCATATTATATTATAAACTATCTTTTATTTTCTCTTTTTTTCCAGGGCATCAGCAGCTTGTTCAGTTCTCTGAAGGTAGTTCGACTGCTTCGATTGGGTCGTGTTGCGCGTAAACTGGACCACTATCTGGAGTATGGCGCAGCTGTGCTAGTTTTACTGGTCTGTGTGTTTGGATTGGTGGCCCACTGGCTTGCCTGCATATGGTACAGCATTGGAGATTATGAGGTCATTGACGAACAAACCAACTCCATTAAGACTGACAGCTGGCTCTACCAATTAGCCATCAACATTGGGTCCCCGTACCGGTACAATGCCAGTGGGACTGGCCAATGGGAGGGCGGTCCTGGTAAAGATTCTCTGTATATAACATCACTATATTTCACAATGACCAGCCTGACCACCATTGGCTTTGGAAACATTGCGCCAGCCACAGACGGAGAGAAGATCTTCTCTGTGGCCATGATGATGGTCGGATGTGAGTGATTTTCTTATTTAACGTCTTTTTTTTCACAACAAAATGAGTAGGTGAGATAGATTGTCATTTTCACCTGATAAATCAGATCACCCTAAGTAAATATTAATATAAGTGGTTTCTTTTCTTGCTACTTTTCTTTTCTCTTTTTCTGTTTATTCTCTCCTCTGTCAGAGTTAGTCTGACTAACCTCGTCTGGCCCCTCTATCTTCCAGACAGCAGTGCTTTGCTTCTAGTGCATCTCCTTCAAAAATAACTCAGAGACAGTAATAGAGAGAGATGGGTGGAGAGAAGGACATATAACTGGCCAGAATGAAGGAACGAGGCCAGTCGTTGTTAATGTCCTTCTCCAGATCTGTGTGTGCAGTGAGGAGTCACTCTGGAGACTATACAGATATGCAGTAATAATTATCAGCATGTGTGAGTGCTGAACCACACAAACACACATATAGAAACCCTGCTCACTGACCCCTCATGCACTGACTCTTGGGGACATCATGCAACTATGTTTTCTGCAGGCTTTTTAAATTTACAGTTTTTCTTTAGTGTGCAAGAGAAAACTTAGGTTCAAATGCCAAAAACACACACACACTCGTAATCACCCGACACGAAGCGGGTGGTTGCCTCCGCGGAGTGCATTCGAGTCGCACTCATACACGCATCCATGAGCATTCATATCGCTTAATGCACAGCTAGACATTGATTATCCCGCTTACACCATGGTCATTTACCAGCATTGACAACTTAAAGATGTTATTGATGTTTGCAGTGCAGTATTTGACCGGAAGGGTTTAAATCAGACAAAGAAGAAGAGTGCGAAAGATTACATTTATTTGAATAAATGAATTAAAGCATTTATTTGAATTAATTAGAGAGAGAGAGAGAGAGAGAGAGAGAGAGAGAGAGAGAGAGAGAGAGAGAGAGAGAGAGAGAGAGAGAGAGAGAGAGAGAGAGAGAGAGAGAGAGAGAGAGAGAGAGAGAGAGAGAGAGAGAGAGAGAGAGAGAGAGAGAGAAATGCGTGTGTGAATTACCTGCATCTGTTCAGCTTTCTCTCTATTAACAATGAAGCTGTGAGTTTAATTGTTTCAAAATAGCGATGTAACCCTCCAGTTTCTAAGAAATATAATGCAGTGATTCAGTAGCGAAGCTATTTTAATGTCGCAGGGCAGCGTTGATAAGTTTCTGTGTTCCTGAATGTTTCTGTGTGCGCAGCGCGATCTCTGTGTGCGAGTGACGTGTGTGTGCGGTTCAATGAAAATAGCACATTAATATAGAAAGGTGATTAAACTGACTTGGAACTACCTGTGCATTAAACGGTTTTATTGCACACCTTCCAGCCAATCAAAATTGAGTATTCAGACAGGCCATATACATATTCTTTTATTTAAAACAACAATTATTTTTTATTGTTTATATTTTTTTTTTACAATTATAGGAGTTAATAGTTTTAACAATTGATCAAAAGTAATATAAACCTTTTACAATTTATACAAAATTCATATTTCAAATAAATGCTGTTTTTTGGACTTTGGAAATAATGTATCATGGTTTCCACAAAATATTAAGCACAACTGTTTTTAATAATTAGTTATTCTTGAGCATCAAATCATATTAGAATGATTTCTGAAGGATCATGTGACTGAAGACTGGAGTAATGATGCTGAAAATTCAGCTTTGTCATCAAAGCAATACATTACATTTTAAAATATAGAACAATATAGAAAACAGTTATTTTAAAGTGTAATAATATTTCAAAATAATGTTGTTTTACTGTATTTTTGATCAAATAAATGCAGCCTTGGTGAGCAGAAGTGTGAGGGTTTTGTAAGGATGAACCCAATTGCAGACAGTTTGCGAAAACACAAGATTTATTTGACAAAAAGGGAAAACAAAACCCACGATGGGGTAAAACAAGACTGAAGGGCAAAAACAAAGACTAACAACACTAGACTAAGACTTGACAGGTAACTAGACAAATAACAGCAACAAGATCAGGATTGTACAAGACAGAGTTCTTCACTAGATACTCACGAGAGGGTCAACACACAGGTAAGGTATGACATGATATACACACACTGAGAATCACAATGAACCGGCACAAGACAGCAAACACAAGGGGATTAAATAGAGAGACTAATGATAACAACAGGTGACACAGGTAAAGCAATAATGACAAAACGAGGATAACAAGGGGGCGGGGCCAGAGGACGAGACAACACAAGCACATGGTCCAAACCAAAGGCCACGTGCTTGCACACAAAACATGGTTCTGTCATGATCCTGCCTCAAGAATTAAACAACAACAAGAACTAGATGGCAGAATCATGACAAGAAGAGACTTCTTTAAAACATTTTGCTTTAAAAGACTTCTTCATTATATTATATTATATTATATAAGATCTGCAGAAATATGATTACTTGGGCTTGCAATGCCTTTTTGCCTTGTCTTGACTTCCCTCCCATCTCTGCTTCACTCGTCGTCTTCGTTTCCTCTGCCTCCCCCTCAGATATGTGAGTCATACAGTATTTTCTTGCTTTTGACCTACACAGCGGTTTCCCTGACCTGTAATATTCTCTAACAACATCACTTAGGTGAAACTGTCATTTGAAAACCTCATCACACTAATGGGTCATTGTGAATCTTTAAGAGGATGGCCGAATGAGCTCTGTTGATGCCGGTTTGGTTTCTGACGCATGAAATGTAGGAACAGCAAGATACAACTTTCAGTGTGACGTGCTTATGGCAAAGACTTGATGTCAGAATAATGTTCCCGTAATGACATTATTGACAGCAGAGTAAGGCCATGTTAGGCCAGAAATGAGTATGTTTTGGGCTTAAGGCATTTTAAAGGGCCTCTGTTGATCTACTCATGATATTGTAAGGTCTTCAGAACACTTTGGATTAATCAAAGGGAGATGATCACAGATGCCCAATAAAAACAACAGCTCACAATTAATGGAGAGAATAATTGTAGTTAGCTGTTCTGATGACTCCTTGATAAGGCTCGTACACAGCGCAGAGCCCCATTTCTCCGTCTGTAATTATGCGAACACATTGTTCTCATCTCCAGATCCTTCAGTCAAGATATTTTCTCTTTTGTTTTCATGTTTCGCTTAAGATCCTAATCTCATGTCTTACTCTTTCTTTCTTCCTGTCTTTCCCACATCTCTGTCTGTCTCTGTGGTAGTGAGGTCCTATAAGGCCTCATTATGTGTGTTTGCAGAGGCTCCCCTGAGACTCTCCCTAATGCACCATCCGTGCCATTTGCTCTACAACTTTCTCTATTTCTGCCTCAAAGTTACACCTGGATTAAAAGTTTAAAATCTCACTGGGTGATGTGTGGGGTGGAATATGGTTGTATTGTGCTAAAAAATGACATGATCAGTTTTTATTTATGCCAAGTAGATTTTGATGAACACAAGTTGTCAGTCCTCATCTCTGACTGATGCTGAAGTCACTGTGAGGAACTGTCACATCCAGTTAACCTTAACTGATTCATAACAACTGATTCATAACAACTGATTCAACGATCCTCTGCATGGAAGTTCACCTTTAATGTGTCTGTTAAAAAACACCTCACTCACAGATCATTTCTGTTTCTCAAACCATATTGATTCAGGTATGCCCAAAAGAGTGTATTTCCTTCTTTCTTTCTTTCTTTCTTTCTTTCTTTCTTTCTTTCTTTCTTTCTTTCTTTCTTTCTTTCTTTCTTTCTTTCTTTCTTTCTTTCTTTCTTTCTTTCTTTCTTTCTTTCTTTCTTTCTTTCTTTCTTTCTTTCTTTCTTTCTTTCTTTCTTTCTTTCTTTCTTTGTTTTAAAATGACTCTGATGAGTTTTGTGTATTAATGAGGTTGTGTGTGAGGTTTCTTTGACTATAATTACTTTCTTTCAGTCAGATGGCTGATATCCAAAACTGAATCAGAGAAATACAAGAAAAGGAGAAGAAATCTCCTTCCTAACTCACTCTTTTCAGCCTTCTGACTCCCTCTTGTTTTCCCTGTTTCTCTCGATCTTTTTTCTCCTCCTCTAACTTGGTCATTTCATTTGGCTTTTCATCATCCATTTTTATCTTATCACATTCCATCCATTTCACTTTCTTCTCTGTTCCCGCTCTTCTCTTATTGGTTGTGAGGGGAAGTATTTGGAAAGCTATTTCAGGAAAGGTTGCCATAGAGATGAGGATCAGAGATACTGTGGTAACACATGAGAAAGGCAATAAAAACAGGAGCAGAAGTTTACATTGTGTACATACAGAGAAATGTCTGACTTCAGTCTACTGTTTGTCTTTCAGTTCTCCTATAAAAGACGTCCCATTGTAAAATTGAATATTTCATATTTATTCAAAAAGGAAAAAAAAGAAAGAAAAAACAATTAATGTTCATAATGAAAAGAAAATGTTTTTGGAAATGACATCCAGTGCCTTTCATTATTACAAGCTTTTTGGGAAAAATTCTGGATAAAGTGAGAATCACGATTATTTTGTATCAAATAGAATTCTCCCACGATTCTGAACAAACTAAACAAAATAACATATAATTTACTAGAGGTTAACTTAAGAGACAAAAAAAAAAGTTAATTGCTGCAGTCTATTTAACATTTTTAATTAATCTGAATTTATTATTTTCAAAAATCGGTTTGAATTAATGATTTAATGACTCACTCATAAATACTTCACTTGTTTCTTTAATGGCTGAATTTCAGCCCGAACATTTTTGAACGAATCTTTTGAATGAATGATTCAATGACAAATAAAAAAAAATTAACAGTCACCAAATCGTTGTCATTTAAGAATGAGATTCGTAGATGTTTGAATCAAGATCATGATTTCTTCTTTTTTTTAACGATTAATCGTGCAGTTCTAGTTTGTAACAATTACTGTGTATTTCAATTAATGCTAAATATATTATGTCACACATATCAAAATTCATTCATTCATTCATTCATTCAGAATCTGCCCAAAAATGTAATATCTGTCAAATGGTAATTCTGTCACAAAAGAAAATATTAAATAAACTATATTTGTACATTTAACAATTCATTTAAATGTTTAAAATGAATTGATTGAATGATTTATTTATTTCATTTTAGGTACTTGAGTCTGCCACGCAGTGTTCATTTTTTTTCTCATTTCAAATCTGTCTGACCAATATCTATTTTATTCTTCTCTCCTTATGTCCTAAAGCTCTCCTTTACGCCACCATCTTCGGTAATGTGACAACCATTTTCCAGCAGATGTATGCAAACACCAACCGTTACCACGAAATGCTGAATAACGTGCGGGATTTCCTCAAGCTCTACCAGGTGCCCAAAGGCCTCAGTGAGAGAGTGATGGACTACATCGTCTCCACGTGGTCCATGTCCAAAGGCATCGACACAGAGAAGGTGAGACTGAAACAGATGGGATGGTTGCATGATTGAAGTTTTGGATATTATTCTTGGAAAATTCTACATTGGAAATTCATCTGTGCACAGGTGCTCTCCATCTGCCCTAAGGACATGCGGGCTGATATCTGCGTGCACCTGAACAGGAATGTGTTCAACGAGCACCCTGCCTTCCGATTGGCCAGTGACGGGTGTTTGCGCTCATTGGCTGTGGAGTTCCAAATGATACACTCCGCCCCCGGTGACCTCATCTTCCATGCGGGTGAAAGCGTGGACCTGCTCTGCTTTGTGGTGTCAGGATCACTGGAGGTCATCCAGGATGATGAGGTCATCGCTATACTGGGTTCGTTTGGTTAACTGTTTTTAAAAGCGCTGATTTATGCTGGGTTCACACTGTACGATTTTGGCCGTCTGACACCAATTTTTGTGAATCCTAAAAGATTCCTCTAATTCCTAGGCAAAAATCTGAAGTCTTTGATTGCTAGTTTGACATGTTCACCGACTGCTGATTAATGACTAATGTGATCAAATTTTCAAAGTCAGAAGATTTGACGCACAGTCCAGACTTCGACGACAACTGTCAAATCAAAAACCAATAGGAGCGCATTACATGATGATGCAATTAGTAAGACAACAACAAACCACCACTTGCTCTTTTTTCCCCACAGTTTTCTTTTTAAGAAAAGCCATGATCAAAATTGATGCAAGAGTGTTTTTGTTTGCTAGCTAGAATTTCTGTCCCGCATGTAAATGCAGCTCACAGTCAACGAATGCGTCACGGATTGATGGAAAACCCCAGACGAGTCTTCTTGCGTGCATCAGTTTTTTACGCGTCATGACTGCCGTACAGTCTCAGTTAATAACAAATAAGATCTTACTGTGTAACATGGCTCACAGCGGGGATCATATTCGTACAGTCTGACAAGTAACAGTCGGAAAGGACTATTGTAAATCATAAAGTGTGCACCTGGCTTAATACATGCTCTGTTTTTTTTACCATCTATTAGCGTCTCTCAATATTTGTTCATTCTTGCTGCTGTCAGTGTTTGACTTCTAGATTAGAAATACATTTTGGTTGTCATGGGGATGAAAAACTTTTTTTTAAATGATATCTTTTTGACATCGTTAATTTGATTTTGATTGAATCTCCAGCAATCAGACTGACTTCCATTACAAACACCATCTCACTTTTCAACTTTCAATCAGCTGCTTCACTGAGATCGCATTAGATTATCACTCTCCCTTGAGTCGCCATCGGAATGGAACCATACAGCGGCATTAAACATTAAGCTCTAATGGCCGCTGAGTTGAGGCCTTGTCTCTCCTCCAGCTCGGCAGGAAGCCTGGACCCACAGTGTCTCTGTGTGCCCAGGAGGGTGGTGGGTGTCTGGGCAGAGGAAGATGGGCTCCTGGGGAGTGGAGTTAGTGAGGTGTAGAGCTGTGTCTCTACAGGAGACAAATGAGAAGAAATTATGACATTAGTCACATTTATCCATATGGCTCACATTTACCCAAAACAATTTTTGCTGGACCGTCTTCAACAGAACTCTTAGTAGAAAAACATACCCAAGTGTCACTTGTTTGCTTAAAGGGATTGTTGGAACAAATTCTGGCATCATTTACTCACCATCATGCAGTTCAAAACCTGTATGATTTTCTTTCTTCTGTGGAACACAAAAGAAGATATTGCTAAAAGTATCTCGGTCTACATTATTCTGGACACATTTGAAAACAGCATTTTCGTTTCAAAACGCTCTCCTTCCACTAGCGTTTTCAAGTGTTTTCCAACAGTTGCTCTTCCACCCTGAAGCATCGGATAACGTTTAAATCATCTTACTGCATATGCGTAAATGTACTAAAAGATCACTGAGATGATGCTGAGACACCAGACATAATAAAGATCTCATGCTATTCTTCTGGGATGATAATTTTATTTGCAAAATATCCCACAACTTACTGTACTAGTGCGTCTAGTTTACACTCAAAATACGAGTGGTCTAAAATGCAATTTCTCTCATGTTTTGCCACAGGACAGCAATTTTCTGGAATCTTTGCAGCAATGTAGTATGAAGACTGCACAAAGTAAAATAAGTTTCTAACAACACTATGAAAATAAATAGCAGGCACAACAATGCTGGTATAGCCATAGATAGTGACCAATTAGTCATTATGGTATGGGTACAATATACGTCCTCTTTTTCAAATATCTATGTTTTTACAGTCTAGACTACATCGTAAAAACAGGGTTTTCAAATGTCTGAAAAGCGTCCTGCTTCTCTGTTTTAGCAGGACGCCGTCTCAGTTTGGACGGAATTTGTCTATTCCACCTAACATTCTCAACCTTTACACGTATTATAAAATGCTACAGTATGATCCTCCTGAAGGTATGGGTTTAACTGTCCCCACGTGGCAACAGAGTGCCATGGTAACACATGACTCCTTGGAGACAATGTTTGGTGGCTTCTGAGATAAACTGTAAATCCCCACAGCCTCTTCAGGGATACGACTGTCTTCAAAGTCAGTGAAGACTTGACACTGAGTCTCCTTGACAAAGTCTCTGCAGACCAGATCTGCTGCACACAGCATGTTTGAGTTCAAATAAATACCCTGACCGTGTAAAACAACTTATTTTTTGTACCATAATAATGTTTACATGAAGTTCGTTAGGTATAAATTAAGTTATATATACTGTATATTTTGTACTGAATGCAACATATCAGCTCTTGTGCATGCAGTCTACAACATGTTATTAGGGTTGACGCAAGAGTGGTTTGCATTGTTAAAGATGACAGCAGAACAATGGTTTTCAGGAAAAGAGGATTTTTCAGGTTTGCTTTGAACGGTTAATTAGAGCGCATGTGTGCATGCATTCCAAGCAGCTGCTAATTGTGGTTTAATTGGTCTGGCATGTGCAGCCAATTAAATATGTTTTGCTACTAGAAATAAGTCTTTAATTGGCAGGACAAACACCTGTGGCAGATGATCTCTGTAAGGAGATTATGCTGAGCTCAGCATCAAAAATATTAGCTTGAAAACAAAGAAACTTCTCTTTGAACCAGCCAAAAAGGGTTTTGATTTTAACTGCACGTTCAGCACTGCTGCGTCCTATGGAATCAGTGCAGGATTTTGCACTTGAAGGTTGAAGGTCTATTTTGGGTCGCTGGCGCCGAGGATCTGTGGAAAGCGATGGAAGAGATCAGTGTGCCATTGATCTTCGGCATCTTAAACGAGTAGAGACAGCTACACTCCTCTCTGATAATACCACGTTCATCTATGCAGCAATTATCCTGCTTTCTTACTGTCTCTTAATGTTTCTTGGCTCTTTCACTCAGTTCTGAAAATAAGAGATAATTAAATGATACTTGAGCTCTAAGGTATCTTTTGTGCTTTTACATTTATTGCATTTCTGAATAGTTTTGAGTTCCTTTTGGCCTTAAAATTTAAGGTTGGCAGGAAATGTGACTCCACCCTATCTATTTTCTAAATTATGTCATAGATCTTATTGTGAACAATTCATTCATGCAAATGTTTTTTTTTTTTTTTTTTACTTGTAATTTTGTAACTTCCAGTGACGTGTCAGACTTCTCTTTGGTAAAACATGCTGGACTTCTCCAATCATTTAGTCTACTTAAACCCCGTCCCTTTCTTACAATTGACAGCAAGCTCCCATTCAAATCTGCCTCCATCCAGTCAACAGCTGATGATTTGAACAAGACCCTGTCCTACTTTTTTTTCTTTTTTTTTCTTTTTTTTAACAATCCATTTCATTAGGATGTACGTCACAAAATGGATGAAATTATTTGGTGCTAATTCCGTTACATTCCTTTGACTGGAAAATGAAAATTCAGTCATTTACTCACCCTCTTTTCTTCTATGGAACACAATTTTTTTTGAAGAATTTCCAAAAGCTGCTGTTTTTCCTATAACAAAAGTTGATAGTAATTTTTACTATGAAGGATTAAAAAAAAAAAAAGTTAATGACTTTTTGTTCTAACCACTGTTCTAATTATTCTGAAGTCATATGATACCTTTGTATATAAGGAACGTGCAAGGGCAACGTTTCCAGTAAATATCCAAAAACCAAAAACTCTTTTGCAGAAGAAAGAAAGTCGTGCAGGTTTTTAATGACATGGGGGTGTTTAAATGATAACAGATTTTTGATAGAGAATTCATTTTTGAGAGAATTATTAATTCAATTTTCTGTCAGTTCACACAAAGCTATTATTTGGCTTTATTCAGCTCCACACAAGAAATAAATTTATATGAGTTCAGAATGAAAGGAAAGTGAGTAATCCAAAGTTATGCTTTTTATGTTAATGACCCTTTTAAGCAGAGTAAGCTAAACTCTTTCCAGTACAGTCAAGTAATTCTCCAGCTCAGGTTGGTGCCTGTCTCTACAGTATTAAGAGAATATTAATTGAAATGTCAGATTTGATCATTCTGCTGCTCAACCCTGCTGTGAGATGATACATTTGAATGACGCCAATTAAATCTCCCACTAACTCTCTGCTCTGTTAAATAACTTTATATAAGCTCCCTTTGCATGTTCTCTGATCCTTTTGTCCTTTTGCTCTCTCAGGTAAAGGGGACGTGTTTGGTGATGTGTTTTGGAAGGAGACAACTTTGGCCCACTCATGCGCTAACGTTCGAGCGTTAACATACTGTGATCTTCACATCATAAAGAGAGAAGCCCTGTTGAAGGTGTTAGACTTTTACACAGCGTTTGCCAACTCCTTCTCCCGGAACCTCATTCTCACCTGCAACCTGCGCAAACGGGTGAGAAACATTAGCAAGTACACATCTCGTATGTTATGTCTCATTGTTTTTGATAGGATTGCCATAGACCAGCATTTCAGACTTCTTTGTTTGTTCATGCTCAGCTTTATTCAGTCAAATGAATCGTCCTTTTTTTTACTATGTGCTTTCTATAGAATATATATAAGCTCATTGTTTGCTGCTTCCCTCGATATTTTCTCTTCTTTCTAAACAATTACTAAGCCACACACACTCATTCTCGCACGCACACATACACACACACACAAACCTACAAACAACATAGTGTTTTTAGGCTAATGGTCAGATATGAATAAATCAAAACACAGCAAAAGCTCTTCTCATACACACTTCCCCTTTATCACTTTCTCTTTCTCTCTCTCTCCCCCTAATGTTATTCCTTCTTTCCACCCTGGTTGTTCCCAGCATGCTTTTACCCTGTCAAACAGTACATTTATGCCTAAGCAAAAGAAAAAATCACAGCAGCACTGTTTTAATAGATTTTTAGATTTTTTTTATTCTTAGACTTTTCTCTACTGTATAAATAGTAAATAGAGGACAGAAAATTAAGGGAATAGGAAAAATAGTGGAATAGGATCAGGATCATTCGTGCAAGCTTGAGTTCATGATCACCATGACTCAGCTAGGCCAAAAAGTTTTGAATTGTTAATGGAAAAAAAAATGAATTCTCTTCATTTACCAGCAATTAATCTGTATAGTATATATGATATAGAAATAAAACTGCAACATAGCGATTTCAGATGTATTCTGTGGTCAAATGAAAGACCAGTCTTGTTTAGTGTCTTTGTTAAGGGAGCCTGAGGGTTTCAACAGAATGAAAGATTTAGATTTCAAGCATGTATCTGCCATTTGAGAGAGAGAGAGAGAGAGAGAGAGAGGGAGGTAAGGATGGCATCACTCTGGAGAAAGTAAGAGTGAAAAGAGACTTGCTGGTGTTTTTGATTGTGTGTGTAGGGCAGATGTGTGAGATGATTATTTTAAGAAGGTTTGTGGAATATTCTCACATGTAGGCCTACTGTGTGTGTGTGTGGTCCTGGTCATTTAAAAAAAAAAGTAATTGGTAATATACACTTTGTACAGTATAAAAATAATCATGTCTATGGAATGTCGTGTGTTTGTGTTTTCTGGTTAATCAGTTAGAGTCTATAAGACAGCTTGTGGGCCTTCAGGCAGACACACAACACACACACACAGACACACTTCTTCCAGAAGGCTTTTGCATTAATGATGTGACCCAGAATAAGACGCTGTCTGGCAATAACTTCCAAATTCTGAGACTGGTTGTTTGCCTAAACTACTACAGTACTACTGTCAAACCACATACAATTTTCACACAAGTTCCATGGCTATCTTAGCATTATATGCAAACAAATAACATCATTGTAGGATGTTAATTTGATCTTTCCAATAACATGTCTAATAATGATGACAATGAGAATCATATGTATTAGTTAACCAGACCACCTTGCACTGCCTCGTGAAATATAATTTTATAATAATATTCTAATATTCACTTTTTATTCAATTAATTCAAATATTATTATTATTATTATTTATATATACACCCATCTACTACTACTACTACTACTATTAATAATAATAATAATACAGTTTTAACAAGTCAGTTATTTAAAATAAATATTTTATGACACTCCTGACTGTGTATACATAGCCTCAGAGATCATGTGGTTTTCTGGAGGTGATGCTTTATTTACTCTGTGTTATATTACTATTTTAAAATAATAACATTCAAATACTCACTTTATTGTTTTTTATTACTTGTATGGTATATTACTTGTAACTTGTATGGTATATTACTTGTAACTGGTATAATTATAATAATAATAGTGAATAATAGATAACAATAATAATAAATAATAGAATAATTATTATTATGCTATTGTTGTTGTTATAATAATTATAAATATATAGCATTAATAACAACAATGATAATAATAAGTGGATTTTTAAACAAGTTAATAATTTTAAATAATATTATTGTAATACAATTGCCAAAAGCACTCCTGAGTCCTAAGTGTGTCTACATAGTCTCAGAGTTCAAGTGTTTTTCTAGAGGTGTGGTTTGTTATTTCCTCCGAGAGTCGCATGTTTTCTTAGGCAAAGATATACAGACAGGTTTAGAATTGTTTTCTTTAAGCAGTAAATTGAACAGAAGACTGAATCTAATATCTCATCAGTCTGTGTCACTGAATTAGAACAGTTTTCAGTGCGTGTGTTCACTGCATGGCTGCATTTGACGTGTGTGTATGACTGCAGGTGACAGGCAGGATTACCTGAACAGCCCTAATGTGTCACCTAATCACCCACTGAGACTGACACACTCTCCCTCAGTGTGTGTGTGAGCGTGTGTGTGAGAAAGAGGAGGGAGGTTTAGGTACGGTACAGTGATGGCTCTAGGGTTTGAAAGAAAGAGATATTTATAGAGACAGACTTTTTTATTTATTTTTTATTTTTCCTGAAGTGGAAGAAATTCTTAAAGGTGCCCTAGAATGTTTTTATTTTATTTTTTATAATGTTTCCTGGGTTGCCCTTATAATGTTAGTATGTTTTTTAGATCAAAAATAAGCATAATTTAGAAATAAATGGCATTTTTCCTAGCCTGCTTTTAGCCTCTGATTTGAACGCTCTGTTTGAAGGGGCGTGTCTGCTGTGGGATTCAGTGTAACCGCGGCCACTGCTGTGATTGGCTGACATGCTTGCATATGAAATAGCTACGCATTACATGTGAAACTCTCCCGAATACTTTTACTACTGCTATTATACGTTTTTACTATAACAGCTATCGAGATTAACGAATCGTGAGATGTTTTTAAAGTATTTAGATCTATTCCCATCACATAAAATGTTGCCGTGATGAGCATTGAGCAGATGACAGTGTGTTGATCGCGAGAATGAAGATCTTATCATTGCAAAGCAGTTTCTGCACTCTCTCTGCTTTCACCAATGCAAACACGATGATGTAAATACAGTAAGAGCTTCGTTGTGCAGTAACTTGCGTCATTGATTTCATAACGAGTTTGGCAAGTGTCCAGATAAACTCGCGCTGTGTGGAAAGATTGTTCTTTGATCGCTTTCTGTATATAATTTGTTCACAATTTAAATACGATTATTTTCATCCTACTAAAAGAAACGATGTGAAGTTGATATTTTAGTCACTGGCTTGACTTACTGATGCATAAACAGTATTGAACGATTTTGAGAGAAAGATTACCTGTCTGAACTTGAACAATTACACATCAGAAAGTGTTGCTCGGTAGCTCGATCCGAGGCCAGCTCTGTATTGGCCCAAGTTGAGGAAACAGTCAGTGAAATGTTTGGAAATTTCCAGAGAAAATAAAATTAACCCATTGTTTCTTCAGAGGCTCAGATGAAGGAACTAAAAAATACTTTTGTGTTCATGTGTACATCCAAACACTGAGCAACTGCCATGCTTCGGCTGCGCAGTTCCGCCTGGCATTGAGGGCTGGCATATGCAAATGTTTGGAGGCGTACATATTAATGATCCCGACTGTTGCGTCACAGTCGGGTATATGTGGAGATTCGCCTGTTTTTCAGGGGTGTTTTTCAAAAACGAGATTTAACTAAGAAGGAGAAAACAATGGTGTTTGAGACTCACTGTATGTCATGTCCATGTACTGAACTCTTGTTATTTAACTATGCTAACATAAATTCAATTTCACATTCTAGGGCACCTTTAAATATATACTGTATATAATATTAATTTACATTTAAAATATTTATATTCATTTATCTTTGATGTATAATGTAATGTGATATAATATAATATATATTTTTCAAGTTTTAGCATTTGCACGACCTGATTGCAGTTCCTTTAGTGAATCGGACACTTACCGTGGACAGCATAAGCAAGCACATAAACAACGCTAGCAACTGGTGCCATTCATTCTTTTCTTTCTCAGTCCTGTCTTCATCTACATTTGGTCTGTTTAGTGGTCTAATTAGTGATGTTTTTAAGTTTATTCTCTAGTGACAGGGCTCAGGAGAGTACAGAGATACACAAAAAGACGTTCTGGCACACTAGATGATAAATGTATGGAAAATGAAAAGTAAGAAGTTACTGAAAATAAAAAAATTGGATAAAGATGGAATGCTTCCATCCACTCGCCTCAGGCAGATAGTCCCCAAGAACAAAAAAAAAATCAGACCCATTTAATCATGGATACACACAGCGACACCTTGGCAAGAAGGTGAGACTCCCCTGCCGATTTCCTCTTTGGAGTAATGGCTTCTCTCTTGAGTGCTTCCAGAACATTCTAGAGAGTGAGAGATTGATGGAGGAGAGGAGCAGCCCTGCATTTTATTTATTTATTTTATTTTTTGCTTGCTGGCAATAATGCGTGTAAGGGGCTTGGAGTGATGTGGCAGCTGTAAATCTGAAAGCTTGTGATATTTCTGCTGCTGTAATATCAGAGAATAAAAAAAAAATTCTCCACCTGTGTGGGGATTCTTACATTTAAGATGGGGTTACATTGTCTATTAGTATATAATGAGGAGGAGGGTGTGTGTGTGTGTGTGTGTGTGAGTGAGAGAGAAAGCACACCTAGTTTCCTTCTAACTGTAATGTGACAGTAAGAGGGTCTGAAGCATTTGTCAGTGATTCTCAGCAGTAAACGTTCTGGACACATTTTGAGCCAATTACCTCTCGTCAGAGAAAAGACGCTTTCCCACTGCGGGATGGCAGTTTGTGTGTGTGTCCAAGATATATTATGTAATTGTGTTGCTAACAGGCTTCTGTGTCATTTTAAGTCACTCAAGCCTCAATGGTTTACGCATACACACACACACACACACACACACACACACACACTCACGCACACAAAATAAACATTCAAACTGGAAAAGGACTGACAAGTGACATGTTCAGAATGATCAAAGATACATTAAAGTAATTTTAGAGTCAGTATTTCTTTGTTTTTCTTATCACTATTTCTTTCTGCATT